CACTCTATTCCGAAGACTTTGTGTCATTATGAAAACAACAAGTAGTAGTCCGTAGAGCGCAGAGCCTTGATGTACCCCGACCGACATGTCCTAAAGGTACCTGCTGCTGTTTGTAGCCTGCTCGTTGGATATGCACAGCCTTTCGGCTAGTTCTTCAAAAACTCAGTGCTCTCACGGGGCATACCGTATCACTTCACACAACACACGATCAAACCTTCTCTAGGTCTAAAAAAGCAGGGAACGAGCGTCATGTACTGCATCAGAGGGGATGCAACCTAAGACAAAACCTAGTTGATGGGGAGCTGGACGAGTTCTCGAGTGCGGCCCTCTACAATTCGTTCAAAGGTTTTCATTTTATGCGATAGCAAGCAAATTAGGGGTGTCGCATGCAGTGCCGCCTTCCATCTCCCAGGTCAGTATGGTGCTACTCCCGGGAACCTTCTTTTTGCGACGACCTGGGTGAAAACTTTATAAACCATGCTGCCGGATTCCAACACCGTGATTCTCACCCGTCAGATACCAATTCATCAGGACCTATTCCTCTTGACAGACGTCATCTTCTATAGAGCCATTTCAATGCTCTGCCTTATCAACTTCAATGCGGGATTGTGCACTGGCAGGAAGAAGCAAAAGGCGAAGTTTTACTGCTGAGACATGCACATATCCCCAAAGACGGCAAAGTAGTCCTGACGTTACTGCTCTCTTGCTGTCTACCAGGAGGTGGTGATTTTTGAAATGGATGCCGAAAATTCCCCTCTGGTATGGTGGGAGGGATTAGGGATAAGATTATATTAGAGGGACAGCACGGAGGGAATTTTGGGGAACACCTGGAGCTCCCTCACCCGACCACGGGGTTTCTAAACACATGAAAAATATCGTTTAGAAGCTTATAGCTCAGCATCCGACAAAGAGACCATTGGTATCAAGGTCAGCCTTTCCACCATCGTTTCTTGATTTTTAGTCCTTGTGAATTTTCTTCAGTAATTTGAAAGCGTGATCGTAGGAATCACACCTATGCTTACATCTTGACAGGCTTCGAAGATAGCGTATAACCGATCCCTTTTCGGAGGCTCAATCAGACATTGCACACAGACGATAAACTCCGTCATGCCGAGATTAATCAAAAGTCGGCTATGAAGCGATCTGGAAGATCGAGAGTTCTAGAGCTCAGACAACTGTGTCACAATAGGGAATGTCCTTTTGGTTCGCAGCAACGTGAGGAGAAGCCATTTCTGATTATTATGAGAATTGGGTATCAGGCAAGACATTTTTAGGAGCAACTTTTTGCTATCATTCCCCTTAAGGTGTCCATTTCATTGCGCGGCCAATTATTTCTGAAAGACAAAAATTACAGAGTGACAAGGCACAAAGTGCCTATAAACGTGCTGCAAACTACCTGGCTGCGGAGGTTGCCTTTCAAATTTCGGGATTGGGCAACCCTAGTGTTGCAATCTGGCATCTGACAGCTCTATCGTAAAGCTTGACATTAGATTTACGTACCCAGAACATTTTGGCATATGAGCGCTATTTGTGTTGTTTACACTAACTTGAAACCTGGACGCTTGTGTTGTTTACACTAACTTAAAAAGTGGACGTCGGACGTCCATCAACTCAACAACAATGCATGGATGAACCTAAATCAATTTTTAGCGGTGAAGCTCCGTCGAAGACCAGTGTTTATCGATGGTTTGGTGAATACAACCGAGGTCACTCCAGGACGAATTTCGTGTAGGTCGTCCAATAGTTGTTCCGAAAACCATCGATGCTGTGCACAAACTAATATTACAAGATCGTCATGTGTCCTATCGTGAGATTGGAACAACCTTAGGCATTAGTGGGACCAGCATATATTCAATATTGCATGAACATTTGTCTGTCAAAAAAAATTGTTCACGTTGGATCCCACACAATTCTTCAATGCATGTTTTGGAGATACCTCAATCTGAGTGACAAGAGTGCTTCGACAATTGCTTCAAACGCATGCAGAGGTGTATAGATCTTAATAGGGGATATTATGAAAAACAGTCAAGTGATTTTTCAGTAATTAATATTAATTTTTGTTCTCTGATCCCGAAATATAAAAGATAACCTATGTATACACAAAAACTTACCTTTTCAGTAGAAAATAATTTACCACCATGTTTCTTAGCCAAAACTATGAATCAAAACAAACATTTCTGCGAATTATTGACGACCTCTTTACACAGCTCTTTCTGACGCCCTCACAAGTAGGACGAATTCCCTTGTGATGCGAAATTCAAACCACAACCAAAAAGGCAGAGATTTGACAGTAAAGGACGACGCGGTTTGGCAAGGGTTTCGATTTCCCATAGACATTGAAACGAAGACCATTTGCTGAGTCCTCTTCGAATCAAGTGCACAACGATGTTTTTTCAATCTATTGGGTACATCCTAATCGATGTCAACTAGCCACTGTTCGCTGTAATAACCCAGTTCTTAGTTACGTGACCGAGAAACTATGGCATAGCAAAGACTTCCACATAGATTTATTTACCAGGTAATGAACAGTTTCGTCCAGGCTTCAGAGGAATTCCCAAGACTACCAGTATTGGCCTTGTTAGGCGAGTCAGTCTTGACATGAGTACTCGATGCTATTGAGCTATGAGTAATGGAAGAGGCTCTCATATCGGAAAACTATGGAGGTTGACTTTCCGGAAACCCCATCTTTCTCAAGAGCCTTAAATCCTAAAAATATTGACTGACACGATTCGAA